AAAGAGAGAGTTGAACCACTATATATATATATATATATATATATAGAGAGAGAGAGAGAGAGAGAGAGGTGGAAGAGAAATACAGAGAGATTTCACAAAACATGGACTTAATATCTTTTGGAAAACAGGCTTTTCGCTGTGACCGTTTGAACATATATATATATATATATATATATATATATATATATATATATATATATATATATATATATATATATATACTTAATCGGACTCAAACAACACAAACGTTTGGTACTCAGTGAGGTTCGAACTCTTTACACTAGCGAATAAAGACAAATAAATTTGCTTACCGCCTCTCGACCAGAGGTTCTAATTTCGTATTTATGTTCACATATTCATTTTCAATATAAATTCTACGACTTCTTTGAAATCAGTTGTAAGCGAAACTGCACGCTAAAGAATTATCCCTAAAGAAGTGCCTGTTTTACTGTTTGGACTGTGATGAGCATCTTTATTGTAGTAACTTATTTTTTATTTTATCTTTTATTCATTCATCACGGGCAATATTAGTTGAGCGAACAGTGATAAAAAGTGAATTCGATGTAAATAGAATCACAAGAGTTACCTCCCTTCCATCCGATAGTTAAAAAGTCATTGTTTTTTCGCCGTTGCAGTCCGTTCTTATGTTAAAGGACGACTTATTGACTTTTTCTCTGTGTTAATTTTTCGCACCGATGAAGCGAATTTAAACGCTTTGCAATAAATGATATTAAGATTTACTTCTCATAAGATGCCTTATTCTTTCTTACGATTTCGCTGATAAATTGCCAATAAGAAAACAATTGTTAATCTATATTTAAAGAGCAACAGTGGAAGTTTTAATTAATTATTAGGTTTTGGATTTTATTTTTTTCGGAAAGTTTATTTTTAAAAATAATAAAAGTCATTTTTTGTAAATTAAAAAAAAATATTTCTTTTAAAGTTTAAATTTTGAGTTTAAATTCTAGCCAATTTTGAAAAATAGATTTGGGAAAAGAATAACACGACTAATAATATATTATGTATTTTTCCCAGAGTTAAAACGTCTTGATTTCGCACAAAATTATTATTCATTCAGCTTATTATTGGTATTAGGCCACTAATACAGGGCACCCAGTGAGAATGGCAGTCAGTTTTCAGTAGTAACAGTAAGCAGGTGATTATGTTGATATTAGTTATTCAATATCGAGGTACTTTGATTTTTGTACTAAATTTAAGTAATAATATTACAGATGCCAAAGGATCTAATAAGTGAATATATATATATATATATATATATATATGTGTGTGTGTGTGTGTGTGTGTGTGTGTGTGTGTGTGTGTGTGTGTGTGTGTAAGTGTAAACAAAATGAATTAAAAACACTCTCTGGTTTCACTGGGTTATTTAAAATCCAAGAAAGACTAAAGATTCCAATATATATATATATATATGTATATATATATATATTATAAATTAATTGATTTAAAATATTTTTTTTCGCTACACAGTTCCAACCATGTTTCAAAAATAGAAGCTAAAAACCCCGAATTTAATTTTGCAATTAAATTAAAAGCATTAGTTCCATTTCATCTTCAAGCGAATTTTGGAGTAACTTTTAAAAATTACCGGGTTATAAAGACACAGCTAAAATCACGTTTCCATGGTTACAGAATATTCTACTTGAATTGAACAAGGGATGTCAGGTTTCATTGTAAAATACATCCCTACCCCTTACCAAATTGTAGCTAATAACTGATACAATGATACTGACGTAAGGAAAATCTAGACATCCCTTGTTCAATTCAAGTAGAATATTCTGTAACCATGGAAACGTGATTTTAGCTGTGTCTTTAAAACCCGGTAATTTTTAAAAGTTACTCCAAAATTCGCTTGAAGATGAAATGGAACTAATGCTTTTAATTTAATTGCAAAATTAAATTCGGGGTTTTTAGCTTCTATTTTTGAAACATGGTTGGAACTGTGTAGCGAAAAAAAAACATATTTTAAATCAATTAATTTATAATATTAATGCTCTGTAAATTTACATTGAGCACTATTTTGTAAAAATAAAAATATCTATAAGAGCACTGGATTTTATATCTTACTGTTCTTTCTTTTTATTTATATACATATATATATATATAAATATGAAAATCAAAAAAAAACAGCCATCCCAATGTGTGCATAATACACACACACACACACACATATATATACATACAGACATCACACACACACACACACACACACACACACACACACACACACACACACATATATATATATATATATATATATATATATATATACATATCAATGCGTTTATATTAATATATATCTTTCCTTTGTATATATGTATAATAGTGTACAATGCGGTTATACAGAGCAAAAATATGTATTAATTAATACATATACGCGTACCTACATATATATATATGTATATATATATATATATATATATATATATATATATATATATATATATATATATATATATATATATATATATATACATCTCATGCATAAATTTGACGATTATTTATTAGCTTACCAGCGTATGCAGACAAGCACACGCGTACACGCCTGCTTATATTTGGGTGTCATTTATCTACTCATTTTTAAGAGATTTATTTTTAAATTTTCATTTTTATTACTTCAAACGATCAGCGAATTCCCGTGATTTTCCAAAGTGTATATTATGTCTACCGGCCTGGGCATTCGAGAAAACATTATAAAGAAAATGTGTTCTCCGTCGTTTCGACTTAAGTCGATTTCCCGCCGGCCTAACATCGCTTCTGCAAATATTTTCATGGTAATTGTTCTGATGGGCTTTCCGCTTTAGTACGTCGAATTTACCAATTTATGCGCAGAATTAGATTGGCAGTTAGTCTCATCATTTTGCAGTTGAAATTGTTAGATGTAACCTTAACTTTTATGCTGAGTTTCTTCTCTTTCACGTTTCGCTTGTGGAACTTTCTTCCTATGTCTTGCTTTCTAGCCAACTTTAATCTTCAAAAATGCCAATCGTTATCTTTTTAATCTCTGTTCTTTTATTAATCTCTCACTTTAATAATTTTTTTTTCTTTTTCTCATATTCTTTCATACTCTTGTGTCTCAGTGGCTTTCTTGCATTGCTTGGGGTGAAATGATTAAAAAAATAAAAAATAAATAAATCAATTACACTGTCATAGAAAGATTTCGTTTTTAAAGTAGATCTTAAATTCAGCATACGATTTTTTCCTTTCCTTCAGTCGAGAATTTCCAGTTTTTTCACTTAAAGCAGCGCTTGTTAAACTTTTTTCATTCACGACCCCATTTTTCATGAGGAGATTTTTCGCGACCCCAGGTCAAATATTAACCAACTACACTGAAAATGCATCCGTCGTCATTGCACTCGTAGCAACGGCGTATCACGTTAAATTTTGTGCGTTTGAGAAATAACATGTAAATGGAAATCCAAGCGTTTGAATTTAATTTTCGCAATCCCAGCATTTCTCTCTACGAACCCATGTTTAAGAAGCTCTAAAAAGGAATGACTTTACGGCTGTTCCTTGGAATATTCGAGTTGCAAGCACCACTGTTCTCTCGTTTTGTTAAATAAAATTTATGCGTTCTTTATGGATTTGACTGTCTGTAACTGAATCCATTGATAAGAGGAAGGACTGTGTAACATCTTTTTCTGAGTTAAAACAACTTTTTTCTCTCTCTAATCTTACAACTCAAATAAATACCCATAAATATCCAAACATAAAACTTCTTTTTGCTGATAATCGTCACTTCAACTAAACTGACTCCAGCTGCTGAATATACATTAGCTGCACAACTAAATAGATATCATATAAAGGCCATTTATTTATACAAGTCACGATATCACGATTAGAACATATTAAATAAATACCTAAAAATATTTATTCACAATAATTATTTCATATACAGTGCTATGGTAGATTCATGCAGGATGACAGAGCAACATGAAACAGTAATTATGCTTGTTTGGCCATCTCGGACGAGCTAATTACAGATGTTGGCTCAAGTAGCGGCGTATTTGTCAATGTTTCGGCTTTTAAGAAAGTATTTATGAATGCTGATTTTTCTAGGCAACATGCATGGAAGCTTGGCGCAGTACAATCTTTCCTAATATTATTTTGGCTATCCCGCTTAATATTTACTGTATTTTATATAATTTATTTTTCACTTGACTTTATGAATATTTTTTTTTAACTATGTCTAGTGTAAGTTCTTGTACGATCACCAAAGTTAAGGAACATCGAGTCTGGTTAGTACTTAGATGGGTGACTGTTTGTAAATATAAGCTAGCGTAAGTCTAAGATTATATGCGTGTTGGGGGTTACGCTCATGTCACGTTCAAACACCGATTCTCGTACGATGATTGAAGTTAAGCAACGTCAAGCCTGGTTAGTACCTAGATGGCTGACCGCTTGCGAATATCAGCTAGCGTAAGTCTAGGATTATATGCGTGTTGGGGTTACGGTCATATCACGTTGAAACACAAGTTTTCGTAGTATGACCGAAGTTAAGCAACGTCAAAACATGTTAGTACCTAAATGGGTGACCGCGTCTATCTCTAGGATTACATCACGTTGAAACACTGGTACTCGAACTATCACCGAAGTTAAGCAACGTTGAACCTGTTTAGATGGATAACGGCATGGAATTCGAAATCGGAGTCTCGAGTTCTAATTTCTGTCGGGCTCATATTCACTAATGCACAAATGAATCCACTTCTTCTCCCTCCAGCTATAGGTTAATTAATAGAACTTGTATCGGTAAAAATATTTATCTCAAAAGAATTCTCACAACCTAAAAATATTTCTCGGATTGAAATAACTTGCAAAAGGTTGATAAGCCGTAAAAACCATTCAATGTATGTGTGATCTGCTCAGCATTACAATCCACCTCTTCTTTCTTTTCACTTTTAAATATTGAAGTCAATTTTTTAATCAAATTCTTCGTTTTTAGTTCTTCGTCTGCGATCATGCCATGTGAATGTGTGACGGTC